TCTTATTGAGCAATAAGTATATAAAAAAAAAAGACAAATAGATTGAATGCAAATAATGGTGTTGTATTATATGAAGTCTTACTTGAAAATACTCTATACATCTAGTTGTGGAAGGTAAGACAAAATTGCAACAACAAGTCCTAATGACTCTAATAGAATCATATATAAATTACAATTAAAGCTTAACATATATAATCAATTATTGATAAAGCCCAATTAAATTTTTAAATAAATAATAAGAGAAGCATATAAAAATTCTAAATAAATCTTAATTGAATCCTAATAAAATTCTAAAAGAATTCTAATCAAATCTTATATAAATCCTAAAAAAATTCTAATTAAATCTTAAACAAATTGTAGTCAAATCCCAATCGAATCTTAGACAAATCTTAATCAAATCTTAAACAAATCCTAATAAAATCTTAAAAAAATTCTAATTATATCTTAAAAAATCCTAAACATATTCTACTTAAATCCTAAATAAGTTCTAATCAAATCCTAAATAAATCATAGATAAATACTTATCAAATTTTAGATCCTAAATCAATCCTAAGGTTTTTAAAAAAATCTTGAAAAATCCTAAAAACCACTAGTAGATTGAAATATCTATAAATAACAATCAAATAATTGATTTCAACTTAAACTGTGCACACGTATCTACATCTAAGCTAGCAAAAATTCCAATTATTTTTAAGACATCAAAATAAAAATATTTGAGATAAATCCTAAAAACCACTAAGATGTAAGTTAGCCTTCTTTTCCAATCTTGATGCTAATTCTTCTAATCTAAAATCTCTTAATTATACAATTAAATACTTTTTAAAATTCACATATATATTGAAAATCAATTCTACTATCCATATATATAAATTTTACCTCAATCCAAGTAGCAAAATGCTAAAGGTTTTAAAAACCCTTTGTGATTGCCAAAATTCTATTTTTGAGATATCAATCTACTTAAACTTTGATAACCTTCAATTTAATTATTTGATTATGCTCAAATTTATAATATATAATTGAAACAATTACAATCAAAAATCTAAAAATTTTTACTTTAAAATATTTTATGAAATTTTTATATTTTTTTTAAATATAAATTCTTTTTTATTTCATAAAATTAAATTTATCAAAAACAATCTTCACTTTGAAAGTTCTTATAAAGTCATTACAAACTAAAATTATTCAAAACCAATACTCAAAGAAATCTTATGAAGTTTTTCTCAAATTCTACTCTTTGATTTACAAAAGAATCCTAAAGTCACCATAGACTCATGATTTTGTATTTCAAGGTTTGATTTTGATCCTAATCAGCAATTGGTGCTTTTTAGATATCAATTTTTATTTTTCTTGAGATAATTTTTAGTAAAATCAACTCCTAATTTTCTTCTATATATACTTATCTCTTTTATTTATTTTAATCTATCTTATTTTTTCTTATTTATGGTCCTACAAAAAAGTAAAAATCTACTTTATAAAAAAGCAACATTTGCTCTTTTAGTTTTACTACCTTTTGATTATTATTTATATTTTAAAGATAATTTGTTACAATATTTTGAAGTAAGGTCTTCTATAATATAATATTTTTTTACTCTTTCACCTATTAGTTATGTTATAGCATGACAATAAGACTAAAAGTTTTAATAAAATCCAAATCTAAAACTTGGCTAAATTCTCTTAGAATAAGTTGCATTTTAAAACAAATAATAATTCTATTGGACTTGAGCTTAAGTTGAAAAATCCACCAGCATATGCTTGGACAATACTTGGAAGGAAATTTAAAAAATATCCAAGTAACATTCATCATGTGAGAATTTAATTTATCAAAGATTTTTTGTTGCTATTAAAAAAATTTTGGGAATCATAGAGCTTGTTGATAATTTTCAAGTTTAAGAAGAACTATCAACAAGCTGATAAACATAGCTCATTTTATTGGTTTTAATTTAGCAAAGTCAATATGTGTTGGAAGCCCTACAAAACATCACTACATAGCTCCTAATTGGATAGTATATATAGAAGCCTTCTTTACTCTTATCAATGCCTTTTTAGTCTTTCATCTTATTTCAAGACTTTCTAGTCTTCTTGTCCTTGGCAATAGCCATTTTAGTTCAATCTATTATCATCTTTGAGTTACTTTTTAATCTTTTTAAGTGACATAAGAGTATATTGAGGATTTCTTTTTTTGAAATTTATGTCCTTGAAAACTTTTTATCTTAATTAGTTAATTTAGAAATTATATATTAAATCATACATCACTTAAAATTAAGACCAAAATTATTTATTCTATTTTAGACCATGTTTTTCAATCTAAACATATTATACAAAAGAAAATAGAATTAAAAATCATAATGTTAGAAACCATTATATTGAAAGAGGTTTATGACAAAATATCATAAGTTTTTCTTAGAATGGAGCATGGTAGAAGCCATCTTCAAAAAACTCAAGTAGATCTCTCACTTATTCTAACTTGAAGGACTAATGTAATCAATGGAAGTAACCAAAATCTTCTAATGGATATTCAAATTGATTTGATGATATTGCATAAAAAATTATCTATTATTATATCTTTGAAATTGCAAGATACATCAATTCTTTTTAATCTTTTAAGATTTAATAGATCCATCTATAAAAATTCAATAGCTCACATAAATGTTTTTGTAGAAACAATTTTTATTATTAGTTTAGTAACTAACAAAGAAATTAAAAAAGAGCCATTCAATTTTCTTTGGAAGTAGAAATTATTGATAAGAAAAATGATTATATGCTTAGAAGAAAAAAATCCAATACTTACTTTTATACCTTTATAATATTAATCTATTAAATTCTATTAATATCTAATTTTAATCTACTCTTAATTTTCTATCTTTTTATTTTTAATTAGCAATCTAATATTCTTATTTGTATAAGTCTTATATGATCAAGTTCAAAATAAAATATTTAGTAAGATTAAATTAAAGGAATTTAAAAGAAAGATAACACAAAAAAATGAAGTATTTAAAAATAAAATGATAAATATTATGAAATCCATTATTGAATAAATATTTTTTTTGCTTTTATGAAATACTAAAATCCAACTATAGAGCCTAAATATCATGAAGTAAAAATTTACACCTTTAAGTTGTAGTATACAAATTAAAAACAAGTAAACCACACGATTCAATTTTGTCTATAACTTCTAAAATAACCACCTATAGAAAAACAATTGAGTTTTAACCTTATACGTTTTTTCATCATTCAAGACGAATAGGTCATGGTTTTTTCTTTGAATCAAAAGAATAACATTATACCTTGACTTACTTGCAAAAAATAACATACACAAAGTTAATATTGGATCAAAAATAGAATTGTATGTTCCAATTGTAGAAAATTTTACCTTATATATTATTATAAAAGATTCAATCAAGTGATTTCTTTACATCATTCTTCAAAAGACTGTAGGAACCAAGTTAGAATATAAGTAACAAAGATCAGATTTGTAGATTATATTATTCTAAATGATATATCAAACTTGTATTATAACCACTAGAACAGTGATCAAAAATATCAACTTATACATAAAAATTTGAATTTTGTTGTATTTTTATATCATTGAAAAGATTAAAAAAATTAATTATTTAAAAAAATAATTTTTTTATTTTATTTTTGTATTTAATTGGATAAAAAATTAATAAATAGATTAAGAATATATTTGTAGTATGTAATTTCTTGATTGCATTTCTTTCACTTGTTTGTGTTTGTTCTCTTTATTTTCAGTTATTTGCTTCTCTCATTTTATACCACATATTATAAATAACTCTTAATTGAGGCCATTTTATAATTTAAATTAAGGTATAAATTTTATTCTTACATCCATCTATGCCAAAATATTAATACCATAGACCTACAAAACCAATACATGTGATAGAACAAGATTGGATCAAAATTCATCTTTTGCACTATTTAATCAAAAGATTAAGTTTTGGAAGTTCAAGCCCCTAATTCAAGGTTTATATTCTTTCATTCTACTTATAAGTTATTTAAATTAATTCTTTTTTATTATCATTGTTTGCTAGATTAAATATATGTCTTATTAATTTTTTACACAACTAAGAAAATAAAAATAATTTCATAATATTACATTATTTATTTACAATTGATTTTTTTTGAAGTTTAACATTATAATTTTACAAGGTAATAAAGTTTCTTTTTAAATTCAGGTACATATTCTTCATATAAAATAAAATAGAAATAAACCTAAATATAATTTAAACTTGAGCCAATTTCTGATATTTAATAAATGTTATTAAAACAAATTATCATAGATAAATTTTTAATTATAGTATAAAATAAATACTATAATCTTATCATGTAAAATATTTTATATGCAATTTTTTATGTTATTATATTCTTTGAACCACAATTTATTATTTGAAAAATTCTAAAACACTACTTAAACAGATTTTATCAAAATTATTTAAATTATTTAAAAAGACTAATAGTCGAATTGTTTTAAAATTATTGAATAAGATATTATAACATCAATTTTATAATTTATTCTGATCTTATTTTTTAATATACTTTCAAAAATAAATAATTAAAATTTTAATTTAAAAAAACTGAAACCAATTTTATTTATAATGTTATTCGAAATTACATCATTATTTATAAAAACTCTATAATTTCAACTTAAGAGCTAATATGCCAATTATTAGTTACCAAAAATAAAGCAAAGAATACAAAATATTTGTTTTTAACTATTCAAGTTTGCTTCTTTTAAAGTCCACACTTTGGTTAAAAATAAATAAATAAATAAATAAATCTAAAGACCTCCAAACAAGCATTTAAAAGTTCAGTAAAATTATGCTTTGTAATGTGTTCTACAACTAAGTATACTCCTACAAAATTATTGTCATCTGAGTAGCAAGTTGATCCCTTCTTGGGATCAAAAGCCTTAAAACAACAACCCTATACTCTATGCATTTATAATATTTATAGTCCTCAAAACCTCTTGATTAGGCGGTATCGAAGCACAAGCTCTAACGATAAGAGTCACGCTCATGATTTGACATGACACATACAAGCGTCTTGGTTACACTGCTTGTGTGATTTGCAATCCACAACTTACATGCATGCAAGAATCCATTCAAAAAATCGTGCTAAACTTAACAAAGTGAACTAAATTTGACTGCTGGGTGAAATCCTCTACACTGATAAAGTGCAGCAAAGTGAATATCATGCTCAATAAGGCACGATAAGATCAATGCGTGATGCTGCACGGATTACACCAACAAAGTTTCCCGGAATCATTATGCTTCTCCACCCCTGCTTCACAGTATCCATCTCAACCGTATTTGAATGATCTCGTAGAACTGGAAACACATTACAAAGAATAGAAGCAATCTTCAAAAATAATACCCACTAATATGGATACACATCCGGTCGCCAGTCATCACAGGCACCGATTGAAATTTGCTATTGAAGTAGAATGATTGAAACCTCCACAATAACCAACCCCTTACTATCAAACATTCATATGTAAAGATGTAAATATTCTTATAAGATTTAAAATTTCAAACTCAACTTGATTACAACACGTGAATATTTTGACCACGACACATACTCTCTACCTAATAACACTACTTTCCAAAATTTCCATACAAACCTTCCGTGCATGCTGTGATCGAATTGAAGATTGGAGCACACTAAACTCCACTGTGCTAAGTGAAAACCTCTGCACTGATAAAGAAAATACCAAATAGAATTAGAAACATTTGCACAAATTTTTCTTCTTTCAAAGCCAACACATTTGTACAAAAACATCGATTTACATACCTCCATGTTTGCAATGTAAGAGTTTTTATGAATGTTGCTTTTTATTGCTTACTACAACAAAATTTATATATTTGAAATAATCCTCAAGTGCATATCACATCCATCCCTTCTTGAAATCAAAAGCCTCAATATAAACACACAAATGATCAGTAGTAATGTTTTTCTGGTACAGCTTTCAGGGTTGATTACCTCACGTGCATTACAAAATATATGCAAATATCCTTGTAAGCTCAAAAACTTCAAACTCCATTTCACTACAACACGCGCATGTTTTGACCAGGACACATACACGCCACCTGGTAACGCTACTTTCATGAATTTCCATACGTATCTCACGTGCATGATAGAATCGAATCGAGGAATAGAATAACTGAACTCAACTGCTGGGGGAAATCCACCGCACTCATAAAGTGCAACAAAGTGAACGTCATGCTCAACAAAGCACGATGGGATCCATGCGGGAAGCACCACGGATTACATCAACAAAGTTTCCCGGAAACATCACGCTTCCCCACCCTTGCTTCACAGGATCTATCTCAACCGTATTTGAATGAACTTGGGGAATTGGAAACACACTACAAAGAATAGAAGCAACCTTCAAAAAATAATACCCACAAATATGAACAGACAATTCGGCCGCCAAGGATGACGGGTACCGGTTGGTGAGTCAACAGTTGCCAGCTGCACGGAGACCGAATCACTGCTCACTTCCAGGGGCGGATGTTGCAAGGTCACCCAACTCCAATACCAGGCTCGATCACTCATCCATGGTGACCGGTCCCGCCATATTGCCCAAGTCCAGCTGCTGTTGTCAACTGTTTCGTTTCGCTAGAGCCTCCATCTTGCGTGGGTTAGATTTGTAAGCATGTGCGCTGATGTTGTGCTGGCGACCGGCTCTCTCCGTCCCACGGTCAATACTGTCCCCTCTTCAGACTTGAGCCCACTCCGAAAAGTCTTGGAACGCCACGAGGGGTTTCTGTGGTCCGTACACGTTCGACGGCCCGTACTGTTCTCGACGTCAACTCGGATATAGGACACTCCCAGTCTTCCTCGTGTCGTTGCGGTCTTGTGCAGTGCCACTCGTATCCGGACGCGCAAAGCTTCATCAGCCAAGGCGACTCTCATCTTCTTTCCCTGCATCTTCGTACTCAAACTTGCGACTTGCCCAGTTCCTGAACACCACATACAAATACGTTTCAGAGGCAGTGCCAGTCTCACCACAACTCGCGCTGCTCCCAATCGATCGACCTCGACCTCGACCTCGACCTGCATCTGGATCAGCGGTCTTGTATCCATTCGTCTACTGATCATCCGCGATTCCTGGCGCTTTTGCAGGACGCTGAACCACGTCCATATTGGATGAGATCCAAGTGCGACGCAGAGCGCCCACCCAAATCCAGTTTCGAGCTCCGGCGCGTCCCACTCCAAGACTAGCGCCTCGTAACCACAAATATATTTCAGGTGCAGGTGCTACAGATATTTCCACCACCTACTAGCACATCGGTGAACCGAATCTTACCAGTACGATGGGGAGGTGGCCCTCACCGGCGTTACTGGCGATCTTCGTAACCATCGCCCTTGCCATGAATTCAATCACCCCGGCTGCCGCTCACACTGGACTCAAGGTAGGGTTCTATCGTCACAGCTGTCCCCAAGTGGAGGCCATCGTCTACAACTCTATGGCTCAATCCACCAAGGCCGACGACACCGTTGCACCTGGAATCCTTCGGATGGCGTTCCACGATTGCTTCGTCCGGGTACGTGATCGTCTTGATTTGCAGCACCCCAGCCAGCTGGATCGAGTCGCAGAGCTTGCGCTGAGAAGTACCTGGATTTCAAATTCAGTTTTCCCGAGTTGTCTGCTTCTGCTTCAGATGCTTCACACTGTAACCGCAACATCTCCTCACAGGATTGTTCCGTCTCTGTGGTTTCTTCAGGGCTGCGACGCTTCCGTTCTGCTAGAAGGACCCAATACAGAGCGAAGAGCTAGAACCAACACGGGACTCCATGGCTTTGACGCCATCGACGCCGCAAAAAGAGCTGTGGAGAACGCTTGCCCGGGCGTAGTCTCAGCCGCCGATGTGTTGCAGTTCGCCGCCCGTGACGCAGTTGTACTGGTGAGCAAGCATCCCATAACGCAAACCTGGTAGTGTCTGTGGATGAAGGTTGGATGTCTGCCTGGTTGATCGTTCCCGACTTCACCCGATCGCGCATCGAATGAGCGATTCAGAAGCGCATCCGATCCCGCATTGAACCTGTGGGGTCGAGTATCAGGCTCCCGTTTCTGACATGTGGATTGCACCTGCGTGGTTGTCCAGGCTGGAGGTTACGGGTGGCATGTGCCCGCTGGGCGTCGAGACGGAACGGTTTCCATCATGGAAGAAGCACTGAACCTGCCCGCCCCGAGCATGACCGTGTCCCAACTCATAGATGTGTTCGGGCGGAAGGGCTTGAGCCCCTCCCAAATGGTAGTCCTATCAGGTGCCCACACCATCGGAAAAGCCCCGTGCGTCACATTCGACGACCGCGTTCAGACAACCCCGGTGGACCCAACTCTGGCTCCCAGCTTCGCCACGTTCTTGAAGGGGCAGTGCCCGTATGCAGCAATCCAATCCACCAGCGTGGACATGGATTCCACCGCGCACACATTCGACAGCCAGTACTTCAAGGACATCATCGCCGGGAGAGGCCTGCTCACCTCGGACCAGAGCCTGTTGTACGACTCCCGCACCAGCGGGGGTGTGTACGCCAACAACGGCGCGGCATTCTACCGCAACTTCGCCAAGGCGATGGTGAAGATGAGCCAGATTGAGGTGCTCACAGGTTTGGACGGCGAAATTCGGCGACAGTTTGACCAGGTGAACAGCCACTAGAAAGGAAAGGGGGCCCAGGAAACAAGGCCGCCCAGATATGGAGAGCATCCGTGTATCATAGAGTAGATTAGGACGAGTTCATTGCACATGGTGAGCGTCAACTGCCACGTGCTCATTCTTTCCGGTGCACAGCATCGGCATGCTTTGCGTTGCTTGTCGTAAGCAATTTACCGCACATCCCTGCGCGGCGTCAATCTCTGAATCACTCTTCGTCCTCTGAATTGGGCCAACCATGACAAGGTTATGAGCAGCAAAGCGCATGGATGTACTGCCCTTCACAAGTGTGATGAACACAAACAAACGTGGAGCAGTTGTTGTCGTGGCCGGTTTCGAAGTGGGATTCATGGATAGCAGCTTTGTGAAATCTCGAGGTATCGTTTTCATTTGCAGAGTTCGCATGAATCATTCATTGAGAATCTAGCATCTTATTCCGAAGCCGCAATCAACACAATAGACAACTTGGATCTTATGCTTTATAGTAATCCCGTGTTATATCCACATAGGAGGTTTTTAGGTCCGGCAGCTACGGCGTCCACAACCCAATCAATATAATTGTTACACCTTTGAATCACACTCCGCTTGCAGCCCAACGGTTGCTTTCCCGACAAGAATTACACCAACAAAGTTCATCATCTAAGATTATGCTGGCACCACCTGTCTGGTCTTCTATTTTTCTCCCCCATGCTCTCTATACAAAACCATGCTCTCTATACAATTCCACCTGACTTTATTGTCACATCTTAGAACTGAAGGCCATTTTCGATGTGGGGAGCCATGCCTTCCTTTCTTGTATGTCTCAATTACAATTTTCATCTTATCTAGTGGAACCATAGACAAGTTTGACCTAGCTCCACAGTTGCCTCTAATTTGGGCTTTGGCAATCTTCTTGCATTGCAAAAGATGCTCTCCTATGTCATTATTTGGATGAGAATTAGTATCCTACGGGTCTTCATGACAAATGCATGGACGTGAGCTCATCTAATCCAAGTATGCAATATTTTTCATGTTTGACGTTTCTTTAGAATCCATAACCTATAACCAATTGCTCAATTCTCTTGAAGCTATTTAATGAAAATAAGCTATTCAAGAAAAATTTAATTTCAATGTGGCAAATGACACACATAAATTCACTATTTTACCACGAAACCACTAGCCTATTACTTATAAGTGGTTGTTTAAGATTAAATTTTAAAGCTTTGGAAAAATTAACTGCTTCAAAACTCGCTTAGTGGTTCATGGCTTCAATCAATTTTTAGAATTCGATTACTCCAAAAAAAATAAAATAACGGTGTGGATATAATCCTTTGAGCTTATTTTTGCCTTCATTATCAAGCTTAATTCATATATACATCAAATGGATGTTTAAACAATAATCTTCAATAGATTCTTCTAAGAATAAATATACATACATGTCCTTGAAGGTATCAATCTTCTACATCCTAGGCTTATATGTTGGCTCCAGAAGACCCTTTCCTGGCTCAAATAATCACCTTATAAATAATTTAAAGTAATACACACCTACCTCACCACCTTTAGATTTGTCAACTCTATAGTCAATGACAATATCTACTATATGACTTTAGACTTGGATTTTATTATCTTAATTCTAAATGTAGATGATATACTTATTCCAAGTAACAACCTCTTCCTCTTTCAACACATAAAAATATAGTTCTACTTCCAAATTCTATTCTTAAATCTAAGAGATAGACACCATATCTTGAATTTGAAGGTCATACAAAATTTATACTAGGATTGACAATAAACCATCATATTTTTATATTTTATATAAAAATTCTTGAAATTTAGCTTTTGTAATGCTTGTCTTATTTTGACCCCTATTACATCCGATACTTATATTCTATGGTGGACATGCTTGCTATGCTCTTGCCAACAACTATTAAATCTCTATTTTTTTGTGCTAATGCAATTGGCTCTTTCAACTGGGCCACACTTTGTACTTACTCCAACATTACTTTTGCAATAAGCATACTAGCAAAATATATGCACAACTCAAGATCAAGGCTCATTTAAGATTGAAAACATATTTTTTTGATATTTACAAAGATCAATCAATGTTCATATTGAGTATTGCCAAAATATGTTACTTTCACACTTCATATTTTGTTTTGATGATGTTGACTAGGTAGGAGAGGTCAACAACCATCAATCTATCTCTGGATATTATTTTCTCTTATTACAAGGCATTATTGATTGAGAATGAACTTGTTAAAGATCAACTGCCTTGTCAAGCATTGAAGTAAAATATATAGCTATGGCCACCATTGCCTTTTAAGCAATCAAACTCTATTGATGAAGTGATCTTTATTAAATTAACATCCTTAAAACAACAATACAAATACATTGTAGTAATTAATTGACATTGATTTGATTGACACTACCAAGTTCGTCTCTTCTACCAAGCATATCAATATTTGCTATCAATTTATTGGACAACTCATCAATTTCAATAAAATTGGGTTTAAATATTATCCGACTCATTCCATGTCCACCAACATCTTAATTAAGCTATTGTATAATCTAAAGATTGTCAATCATTTTTTTTGCTTGGTATCCTTTTAAAAAAATCTAACCTATATCATATCTTGGTTGTAAGGGCATATTAAAAATCACAAATCACAATTCAAAAACTAACCAATTTGTTGTGGAATAAAATTGAAAAAAATGTCACTTCTTCTTAAGAAGATACAATCCTTCTTAGATGTACCTTCTTTGAAAGAATAAAAAAAAATACAAAATTGAATTTAATAACTGGATTATAATAAGAATTACCAACATCTTAAAAGTTACAAATCTTGTCTTATATTTGTAATTGCAATAGCTATATTTGAACTTTTCATTTATATTGTATGATATCCTTGGCATTATTATAATTTAATACTTTTGATTATTAAAAAATCTAAAATCTAAAAATAAAATATTTAATTTATAAATTAATAGAATTTCATGCAATAATTAAAATACAACTAAATAAAACATAAGAACAATCAAAAACTAATAGAGTTGATTTTAGAAAAAAAATACATTAAAAATTGGCAATAATGTATGACTAATTTGTTGTAATATTAAAACCAATTGACTTTGAAAAAAATAGATTATTAAAAGCTAAAAGAATTAATTTTCTAAAACTAAATTAATCTACTTATATATAAACTGTAATTACCACAAACAATAAAGATCCATCTTGTATTTGAAGTATATTTTATTTAGCCTTATATAAGAATTAATATATTGAAAAAAAAAAATTCCTACCACCTTTTGATGCAATATATAACAACTAAAAGTTTGAAGCAAAAGAAAGCCTTAGATTCAAAGTAATACCAAAATAAATAAGAATATATTATACATTATGAAGATATAATATTTTAACTCACATAAGAACTGTCCAAGAATCTTGAAAAATATATCAAAGCTTATTATTTCTTTTTAATAATAATAGTCATGAAAACAAGAGATCAACCATTATTAATACAACACTATAAATCAGAGAGAAAAAATTCTAAAAGTTTGATTTTAGATATATTTTTTACAATATATAAAATTTAAAATAATTATATTTAATTTTTAAATAGTTATTAATGGAACTATTTAAGTATTAAAAGATATAAAAAATAATAAAAAAATCAATAAATATTTCTTTAATATTTATAATTTAGTAAAGATTCTAATGAATTAAAAATTAATAATTACATAAAATACCAAAATATAGCCAATCTTGAAAATAATAAATACAATGATGGAAGATATTAATTTATTTTGTTCTATTATAAAAACTTAAATAAAAGACAAACAAAGTTGTTAATTGGTTATTACAAAAGTGTTTAATAAAATTAATTAAAAACAAACCAATATTAGTCAAGCTCAAATATTTTTATTGATTATTAGGAATGCTTCAAATAATTCAAATTTTGTGGTTGAATTAATAATATATTATTAATAATAAATAAATTTAAAGAAAAAAAAGTCAATAAAATATAATATTATAATTTCTATAAGATTTATAATCATCTATGATATTATCTTATGGTATGATACATATATATATATATATATATATATATATATATATAATATTTAAGATTTATATTCAAGTAGTACAATATATGTTACGGCCATAATCATGTAAGCTAATAATTACATATAGAAATAGGTAGAAGTAAGTAAAAGTAAATAAAAGTAAGTTAATTCTATAATATTTAATATAGAAGCTTCCTAGAAACTTCCTAGACGCTGCTTTGACTTCATAGGTGTCTTTAATTGACTTTTTGGATTAGAAACGTGGTCAACAAGTTGGCCATGTGCCACACATGTTGTTAGCTTGAAGATCAAGCTAACTATGTGGCCCACACATAGAAAAACTTGCCTTGTAAGTCAAGGCATGTGTCCTACAAAGTCAACACATATTGGAGGTCCTATAGAACGTCGCCACGTAGCCCCTAGTTAGATAGTATATATAGAGACAAGAGTGAAGGCTTCTTCACTCTTGTCATTTCTTTTCTTGCTTCTAGTCTAGTTTCAAGGGTCTCTAGTTTTTCTTATCTTTTGGCAATAGCCATTCTAGTTTCTCTTTTCAATATACATACTTATTATTCATATTTTGTTACTTTTCTTTGAGTGAAGGCTTACTTGTCTGAACTATTTTTTCATCGAGTTCTTGTCCTTGACAGATTGACAAGAGTGTACTTACAATATCAGAGCTTTGTTTTTCTTGAGTAAGAGTGGATTACCCATTTCTCTTGACAAGGCATAAGCGTATTAGAAGTTTGCGGATTACCCACTTCATAACTGATATTGTTTTTAGTATCTTCTTTGTTATCAAGTCTTTCTTTTCTTTTCTCTTGAGCAGTATCAAACAAATTTTTCTTCTTAGTGTCATTATGGCAGAGCTTGTTGAAATGAAGAGTGCAATGGCACAAATGCAAGAGCAAATGAGGGAGTTAATGCTTGCGATGCATCAACTCAATTCACCAACACAGGAAAGAACAAGAATAGCAGAAAGTGGGGATATAGAGATGATCGGAGCTGCTTCAACATTTACAACAAATCACGTTCCTTCTCCAGTTGTACAACATCCTATAAGCACTAGAGAACCAAGAATTACCTTACCTGAGAAATTTGATGGTACGAGATCAAAGTTTCGAGGGTTTATCAATCAAGTACAATTGGTAATTGAACTTCAACCGCAAAGCTATCCAACTCCAGGATCACAAGTCAGGTTTATTGGCACTCTACTTTCTGGTTCTGCATTATCGTGGTTTTCGTCTTTTCTTGAACAACGAAATCCAATATTGGACAATTTGGAAGCTTTTTTGGTGGAGTTTCCATCTATGTATGGTGAACACGATGCAACTCGTGTTGCAAC